GTAGACATAAAAAATAGTAATAGAATTGATGAGTTTAAACATAAATATAAAGGTATGTGTCAATCAAGATATATGAAAGAACAGGCTTAATGATTAACCAGATGGAACATTGTGGGTGTGGTGTATGAATGTTAACACTTTGTAATAATTCTTTAGTGTATTACTTGTGTGATGTAAGAATGTTAACACTGTTATAATCTTTTTTTAGTATAATATGTGTGTGGGTAGAAGTGAATTATTTACTGCTTGCAAACCAATGATGGTAAGATGATGTCATGGGGTAGGACTGGATAAGTCTGACTTCTTCCTACTCCATTCAAGCATGTACTAAGTATAAGCAAATTGATATTGGATTATGTACAAAACTAATTCTAACCTGAACACTAAAACCAAGTCTTAACCCTCAAAAAGGTTCTTCAGGAAGAGGATTGAATAAATCAAATCAAATCAAAAAGGTTCTTTAGGAAGAGGATCGGCCAAAATGTCCTCACTCAGTAGCAAAAAATACTTTTTGATCCTCACTATGGAGCAAGTATAAGAACACACACACCTCTCAGCTCAACATATCTGCTGAGTACAGGCTGTGTGAATAACTCAGGACAGACAAACAAGAGAAAGTGCTCACATTTGCAATACAGACCAGAAGTCAAATTATCCCACTCAGCTATGACACTAGCCCAGAGCTATTTCATCAGCAGTAAATAAAGACAGAGACTTTATGCACCAAGAGGTCAAACCAGGACTGTAGTAATTTAACATCAGCGTCTATCAGTGTCTGCAAGGCTGACAGTTCGGGTTCAGCTTTATGCATTAAAAATTCATTTGAGCCACATCTGTCATGATTTCTGAATGACTTTATGGTACTTTTTGAAATTTATGTAAGGTTTTTGGTGACATTCCTCCCAATGAGATCCCATGTTGTTGTGGACTACCTCTGGTATTTTATGGAGTGAAAGGAGTTACGCTGACAACCCGCATCCCATTACTGCACAGACACAGGGCTGGGGATGTCGCTTTGCTGGTTTCACCTCGGTCAGTTCTTGTGTACCAGAGAGGAGAGACTACAGACTATATACAGTAATAGCATGTAAGAACCCATTTAAATGCTTCTTCTATTATTTAGTCAATTTCTAAATCCAACCAAGGTTATTCTAATTTAAAAAAAATAAAAGCCCTGATTTAGAATATAGGCTATTTCTTGTACATCCTTGGTCATACCAAAATGGTTTATAAGCAACCAAACTAAATGTGGAATGTGTAGCTTAAGATTAATAAATATTTTGTGGAAAAAAACACTATGCTGGAATCTACTCTACACTATAAAACAGGACCTATCAGTTACAACAATGGATCTGAAGATAGCTGAGCATGGCTGGATGCACAGGCAATTCCCCAGATGTAATTACTCCTAGACAGTAAAGGCGGGGGACATGGTGGAGCAAATGCAGACACATGTACATAAACCTAAACAACAGCTGAAGTCATGGTAAGGCTTCACAAAAATGATTGCCTGCAAGCTTAACAGCTCTCAAAATCCAAGGGTTTGTCAGTAAGAGTATCCGTTCATATCACTGGGTTATCCTGACACTGTGTGAAACGGACTATTCTGACATTTCAGCAAGAACAAATGCTGCAGGTGGAAGCAGCTGCACTGTGATGGAACAGAGATGGCGATATATGATGAATTTCCCAGTAAAAATGTGTGTTTTATATCTATATAGCTATAAGTTAGACATTTATATAAAAAGAATAAGCTGATGCATTTATTGCATGACAAAGAAGTTTTCAGAACGCAATTATTGTTTATATTTTGCTAGAAGTAGGTCAATTCAGAAGTATATCTCTTCCCAGATTAGTTTCTTCTTGTTTTATTTTTTAAATTAATTATAAGATGATGAATGGCTGGCCAGTATAACACCTACCTCCTCCTGAACATCACTCTCAGGTGAAGCCTCCTCCTCCTCCACCTGCTCTGCCACCTGCTCTTCCCCTCCCTCAGTCTCCTTGGGAGCG